TTTTAAAATGTTTTTTTAACAAGCTTCTTCTGATTTTATTTCTGCTCTGTGAAGAATGAGGGTTGCCCTAGTTTCAAGGCTGTCTTCTCTGCAGGGCCCCAGTCCTGTGATCTTTACGGAGGCCTTGCTCTGCAGAAGCCAGGGAGAGCCCTTCCCTGGGAGAAGGGAGGCAAAGGGGACAGAAATGCTGACTGTAAAGCAGCGAGATGTGGATTTTACAAGTGGAGAGCCAGATAGCAGCGCTCCTCACATAAATGTTACTGCTCAGGCTGCTTCACAAGCTTATTCTTCTGCACTGTGGTTTCCTAGTGCTGGTTTATTGCTAATCTACACATCTTTGGTTTTTTGCAGCGATTAATTTTCTCATAGAAACGGGTACACTACTGCACTTCCCAGACACAAGCCATGGCCTCCGAAACCTCTACTTCCTTGACCCCGTCTGGCTCTCGGAGTGTCTACAGAGAATTTTCAACATCAAGAGCTCCAAGTCTGTAGCTAAGAACGGAGTCATCAGAGCAGAGGATCTCCGGATGCTGCTGGTTGGGACGGGCTTCACTGAGCAAACTGAAGAGCAGTACTTCCAGTTCTTGGCCAAGTTTGAAATTGCACTGCCTGTGGCCAACAACAGGTATGTGGATATTTAAAGAGGCTTAGCCAGGCTGGAGAAAAATGGTCATTTAATCAGCGGATATTAACAGGCTTTGTTGCTGTAAGCGGTTGTCTTGACAAGGATCTCGCTGTGAGAAAATATTTGAGCACGTTCAGCAGCTCCGTGGAAGGCACCCATCCATTTGGGCTGTGCTTCCTGGCATGAGCATCCTTTGGTCCAAACAAGCTGGTTTGAAAACTTTCCAGAGAGGTTCTTTGTCCACTCGGTGCATTGAGGCTGGCGACAGGCTCAGCCACCGGCCCGGTGGGGCGGCGACACGGCCGGGGCCGCGGTGATGGGCAGGTGGGAGCTGTAAGCGCTCAGCTGGCGCAGCTGCGGCTGAGAGAGGATGTGAGGCTCATGACTGCCCGGTCTGAAATGTAGATGGGGTGGAGTCATGTGCTTCCAGAGAAAGATGCTCACTGCAGAGCATGGCGGAAAATTTGGGGTAATCAATAATGGTGTCACTAATTTACTTCTAGTGAAATCAGGGAAGTACAGCTTCAGTAACAATGCGGTTTTCTTATTTTTAGCCTCAATAGGTGCTGATCAATAGTTTTCCTAGAAATGGTCTGGGAGACCTCATTCTCTTTAAATGTTAATGAGTCCTCCTCCCCTCTGCCCCCCGATCTCTTTTCCTCCGGGCAGAGTTCCCTGCTATTTTTCTCTCTCCCATCTGCTTGGCGACAGCCTGTTGTTGCCTTAACGGTGAAGCCCTAGTTGTATTGCACTTTGGATGTGGCATTTGCATTTAGCTTCCTTGCCCTTCCAGGACAGCGCGGCTGCATCGCCCTGAGCCTCTCGGGAGCTCTCAATGCCAGCACAAGTGCAGCATTCTCTGTGCTGTCATTATGCCTGTCACTTATCCAGTCCCGGATGCCAACAAATTTTCTCAGGCTTAACACAGATAAAGCCGCAATGTTTCTGCTTAGTCCAAAATGCCTTTTGGACTCCTTGTCGCTATCTGCCATTTTTCTCCCAGGCAATCACATTGTCTCTGCCTCAGGAACAAGGAAACTGCTTTTTCGTGGCCTGCCCAATGTTTTTTAGAGCGATCCAAGCCACATTAGCAGAATGTTCTTCCCACTGATGGGCTGTATCTATAGCAGGTTGGATTAATTTAATAAACTAGCCAGACACAGAGCAGTTATTTGTTACTCTGCTTCTGCAATTATTGTCTAGATTGCCAGATAGGGTTTCTGTGCAGTCAGTAGAGGAAACAGCTGCCAGTTTCTGTTCTGAAAGGGTGGATGGGGGCATGTTTCACATATTTTCAAAATTTGCATTGGCTGTCGTTCAAGAGCACCGAATCACCATCTGTAGTATAATCCACTATATAGTTGTGGTCCAAAAGGACCTCACTGGCCTTTTCATACTCTTAGACTCTTTCTTGGATGTGCTGAGGAAAATTTATTGGCTGTCTTATGATGCACCAATTACGTTTGTAGAGCAAGAGCATTTAGTTTGATGCACTCCATTTTTCTGCCAGAGGTGCATGTTATTTAGTTTTGTTCTGCTTGTTAAAACAAGGTTGAAGATATGACCATTCTTACTGTAATTTGTAAGTGAAGAGAAATTTTTATCAGTTTTACATTCCAAAGATGTTTCATGGAATAGATAATTCGGTCATGTAATATGTCATCGGATGTTACGGACTGTGACATACGGAGAAAGCTGTTGTCTAGCGATGGCTGGTTTTTCTGAGCTGATATTTCAGGTTTTACGGAATACTACAGCTGCTAGAGAGAAAATTTGATAGGCTGAGAGCATTGGATTCAGATCCAACATTAGTTCTAGTTGTGCCACTGTTATTTTGGTCAAGTCTCTTGGCCGTTTGCCTCATTGCTGTCATTACACCCGTCAGCGATGAGCCCCAGATGCCGACACATTTTCTCAGGCTCAACACTGATAAAACAGCAGTGTTTCCACTTACAAGCAAACAAGATTTTTGATCGTGTAGGCATCTTGGAATGTGTTTAGTGCAGAAGAGCATCACTGTCAAGATTTATTGGCAGGTATTGAAAGCCATAAACTCGTGGTTTTCAAAACGGTTCTGGTCTTCCAAAAAGGTTTTAGCTTCCCAAATACTAAAGATCAGGACAACTGAATATTCTATGCTTACTGGGAGATCTGAAAATAATTTGAAAACTTTGCAGTCCTCTACAGCAACGTAGCTCTGTTACTTCTGACCTGTCAGGCTCGGTTGGCACTGAGTCTCCTCCACGCTTGGGCAAAGAACCTAATAATGCGATTGCAGGAGGAGGCTGAGCAGGACAAGCGGTGTCTGTGCTGGCAGCAGTCTGGCAAGGTGAGCTCGTGCCCTAGGAGATGGTCGGGGATGTGCTAGAGAGCCCATCAGCTGTGGAATGTGGTGCAGCATGAAGCCCTGTCCTGGTGATCCATAAGATGCTCTCATTCTGGGACTGGAAGAAGAGACAGAGAAGTCCAGTCACCTTATCTGTCTCATTTCCACCGCCCATGACACCTCCTCTCCCCGCCTTCTGGGCTTACCTTTTACATTTATCTCCTGCTCCACGCAGGAGCACAGCTGTAATTCTGTGCGTACAACCAGAGCAGAGTCGTAGATAGCCAAAAAGTGAGTCTCAACATCGCAGCTGTTCTAATGACTCTTAGATTTTAATGCATTTAATTTGTGATTACACAAATGTCCTGCTCATTACATCAATTTTAGCCCTGCCCAATAGCCCTAGCTGAATTATGTAATGTCTGTTTTGCCTCTGGTTGCTTCCACAGTGTAAATGAATTTCTCCATGTATTGCTGCAGCGCCTTTAGTCTAAAAGCTTTTTTATATGCAGTAGGCTGTGCCATTAAAAATCTCTTTGGAGACTGAATCGCCCTATTATCCAGTAACAATGTACCCACTGTTACAAGCTGTAGCTAAAATTTGAGCTGTTGAATTTGATGTGTTTCAGCTACCTCCTCCCTCATCTGCTTCCTACCAAGCCAGCATTAGATATCCACGGGCTCTGCCACCAGACCACAAACACAGTCCAAAGGGTCTTCAAGATGAGTTTTGTCCCAGTTGGCTTTTGGCAGAGATTCATAGCCCGAATGTTAATTAGCCTGGCAGAGATGGACCTCCAGGTAGGTTACTGTATCCCTCTGTGAGCAAAAGAAGACATCTAAAGTTTTTGTGCAGTGTTAGTGCAAGTGGGTGTCTCTTCACATCCAGCTTGCTTCCATCACAGTAACATTACTTGAGTAAACAGGGAAAGATGAGACTCTGTGATCAAAATCTGATTCTGTTTTCACAGTAGGTGTCTTTTAGAATAACAAATCGGCACTGAGGAGGAAAGCCTGTGTTCTCCACCGCCTCTTTATAGCATGATCCCCTGAAAGGTCTCAGTACCTCCGGCATCTTCCAATTACAAGTAATTGGAGTTCTGCCTGCGGCACTTGTCCATGACCATTCTGCTGGGCCAGGCTTCGCTCACGTCCTTGGCCAGTGCAGATCGGAAATAGCTCTACCAAAGTCAGCTATCTGAATCTACGTGGGTTTAAATGAGAAGAAAATTACAGGACTGTCACCTTAATGGGATAATGAGACTTATTTTTGCAGCAGCTTATATCTGACAAAAACAGCCCTGCTGGAATCCTTAATAAATGCCTGCAAAATATTTTTAGTGCTACTGTGGTGTCTTCTAAACAGCTAACCATTTAAACTGTGTTCTGGCACCAATGTACAGAACCTGGAAAACATGATACCTGTTTTTGGAAGGTCCCCTGTGTTCCGGGCTTCTCAAACCATGTAATAACTTTACCTGGTTTTTACGGGCTGTCTTGGCAACCCCTTGCTACATCCTCCTGGGCACTACGTAACCCTGGAGCACCTTTGCTGGAGACCTCGTCCAGTCCTCACTGACGTGAATGGAAAGGATCCCGGGCATCAGACCCGTCTGCAGACAAATAAGTGTTGGAGCAGCGAGTGCAGCGGAGTCCTGCAGATTAAGTCTTTTGGTTTTAAAACAAAATTTCATTTTGCTCTAAGAGCTGGTTTGAAGCGTCTTGGAGAAAAGCCATCTTCCTCTCACTGAAGCAGGTGGAGAAGTTAACTCTCTGCACTGAAGGCAGACTTAATCATTCACTAGAGCATTGAGCTCTTCTTCAGATTTACAAGGCTTTTGCAAATGCAGAATTCATGTAGCAAATGTCACAGTTACAGAATTAACTTTGTTCACGGATACGGAGTTGTTCCTTTTTAAGCCACATGGAAAATATTTCCGTTGCTGCAAAACCCACTTTTACTGCAAGTATTTTCATTCCATCGCAAAAAAATTTTATGAGCATAGGTCGATTTTTAATGATAACACCTGTGAAGATTGAAAAAAGAAGTCACCTTATTGCTCAATTAAAATCAGAAAATTCAGTAATTTAATGATTTTTCTGCTTTTCTGCTTGTTTCAGCTTTTTGAAAACAAGAAGAACACCAAAACGAGAAACAAAAAGGTGACCATCTACAGCTTCACAGGCACCCAAAGGAACCGCTGCAGCACGTTCCGAGTCAAAAGGACTCACACTGTTTACTGGCAGGAAGGTCTGTTCGTTACCTTTGATGGAGGCTATCTTAGGTAATTTGTGTTCATAATGCAGCATGCGTGACAGGGGACTAATAGAGTGTATGAAACACATCATCTGAATGGAGATGAATGGGCCTGACTCATGCTTTATGCTCACTCATCAGTAGAAGATGCCTCTTCCAATAGGCGTAACTCATCTGGTAACAACCGGTGACAAAAATGATGAATAACTGATTGTTTGGCAGTTCTGAATATACCAACCTGGCGTGTTACTGCAGCCGCAGATCTAGTGGGGACTGAAAAGAGAAAGCAATATTCAGAGCCGAATCCTTTGCCAGCGTAAAATCGCGCATATTCGCCTGCAAAGGTTTCCTTGCGTCAATGAGTTTTCATGAATCCTGGAATTTCACCACTGTGTGGCCATAATCCGGACCAGTGGAGGTGCTTCAGTGCTATCAGGCAGTGGGGCAGTGGACACCTGGTTTAAAGGGGCCAAGGTGGTGTCTGCTGGCTGCAAGCCTGGGGAAAACCCACTGTCCATGTTCGTTCACAACTGGAGACAGCAGGCAGCCACTTAAGACTTTCACCTTTGTAGCATCTGAGGGTGCTTTTGCTCTTCCAGTTCCTGGGAGGAACCATCGGTGCTGTTGCGTGATTGGAGATCAGAAGGGCACAATAACTCTCCTGAGTTCAGACTGAGTTCAGTCTGCAGCTGAGTAGGGTCTTGGACCCAGGCATTGCAAATCGTGGGCTGGGATCCTCAATTCTGGGCCACAAAGGTGATAATACTGTTATCTCCCCAGGTACCTCAGGGAGTTACAGAACTCGGCTCTTTATATTAAATCTTTTTTAATTCTTTTTGGTAGGAATTGCACAAAAGTTAATGTCCATTAAGTTTTTCAAAGAGTTTTTGGAAGTTGTATTATTATTGTGATTACTCCACTGGAGTTTTCTTACCGATTTTTAAAACTGCTCTGTCATTCTCAACGGGGCATTTCTGTCAAAACTCTTCACCATACTCAATTCACCTAGGCCAGAGTTTTCTCTGGGTCTGACTTTCTGTAGCATTTACCCATTGTGAGCAGCTGGCACTTCTGCGCAAGTATTCTCTTCTGGAAGTTGTTTGTAGAAAAGACTGAATTGAAAATCAACCTCAAAGCTAGATTGCTTTTTATTTTGATTACTTATGAACTACGTGTTATTATGTCGCTCGGGTTTCCTGTGAGAAAGAAAGCTTGTTGACACTGTTACTTCACAAAAGCTTCATGCAGCTGTCTTTTGGCTTTCTTGCACAGTGTCGAGTCTTCTGATGTGAACTGGAAAAAGAAAAAAAGTGGTGGAATTAAAATCATTTGCCAGTCAGAAGTCAGAGACTTCTCAGCGATGGCGTTCATCACAGATCATGTCAACTCTTTGATAGACCAGTGGTTTCCTGGTAAGAGAACTACTGTAATTTTCTGTGCGATATTATGTCTTTTTAACAGAAGGTTCTTTGACAGAGCTCTCCAGGTGCACAATATTGTGTGTTAATTGAAGAGCCCTCAGGCTCTGACAGTCTCAACCCAATGAAGTTTGAAAAAATTTGGAAAAAGCTGATAACGTGCAGACAGATGGAGATAATTTGCTGGCACACCTTGGTCTAGACATTGTGTCTTTCAGTCTGTCAGTCACAGCGAGCACAGGTGAAATGTTACAGTTCAAACGTGACCTGCTTCTGCAGGAGTTCAAGAGACTCTTCCAGTGCTCGTAGCAGGGACATGATTTGGCCCAAACTACTTGGCACTGTCTCTGGATGGTGGAACTTGTTTTAGCATCAGTTGTGATCAACCGTTTCTCCGCCATTTCTATAATTTAATTCATAAAACTGTGATGTGAGAGGCATGAGTGAATATGATACCAGCGACTCTGTGCCAAGGTAACTTCCTTGACTCCAGCAGTTGTTTTTCCTCTGATCGGCACAGATCCTGCTGTTACCCAGCGGGCTGTTTGCGGCCTCAGTACACTTTGTTTAAAACCAAAACAAAATCTGAAGTGTCCTTTGTCATCCCACACTGGTCTAGAAAGCGGTGCCAAAATCTCTTAATTGGAAGCTCTCTGGAGGAAACAGTTGTGCACTCTCGCATATTCATGTTCTGCGTGTTATGAAGATAAAAGAAGATTTTATTTGCCTTTGGAGTAAAATAATGATAACATTAATCACTGAAGCTTGAGGAGAGTCAGGACTTCAAAGGCTACAGCCTGTATTCACCCTGCCTGATCGTAGGCCTTTAACAGAGCCTGTCGCCACAAAATCCCTCTGTAGTCAGTGCAAGTGGTGTGAACCTCCCAGACGTTTAGTTTTGGTAGAATCCAGGCTCTGGAGAGGCTGAAAACCAGGAGGGAGCCTGCAGTGACCACGTTGCTATATTGGGGGCTGTAGGCGAGTGCTTACTGCCAGCCTGCAGCCGAAGCACGCAGCGGGCTGTGCCGTGCTCTGCCTCCCAAGCCATTCCCACTCTTGTTCCCGTTCCCATGCCTGCTCTCCGCCTGAAGCCATCTGGCAGCTCTCAGTCTGCTCAGCTCCTGGGCAACCTCCCGGCTACAATCCTTCTCCCGCATGGAGCGACGCGGTGATCCCTGGATGCAGCTCACACAGACGCACCCAGCAAGTAGGAGGTTTTCTCCAACACATTATTCATACGCTTCTGGTTTCTCCTGGTCCCAAATAGGTTTTCTTCCTAAGCCTCTGTGTTACATGTGACCAAAGCAGAGTAGCTGTGAAGTTACACCAGTGGTCCCATCTCCTCACTACTCTGCAAAAAGCTATTGTCTCATTCCTGTCAATACTCCGCAGTAAACTGCTGCTTTCATGAACGTGACCGTTTTCAGCCAGTGGATCCAGATAGTGACCGAAGACGTTTGAATGCACTAGGAGCTATTGTTCTTTCTCCCTCTGTGTGGGTTATGTTGTTTTCTCTTTGCTTGCTTGCTTTGTAGCGCTCACAGCCACGGAGAGCGATGGCACGTTGCTGATGGAGCAGTATGTGCCCTGCCACATCTGCGCAGCTTCCAAGTCAGAGGAGAACGAGCGCGGCGAGAAGGTGGAGGACGCGCAGTACTTTAACATGGAGGACTGTGTCCTGACTGCCATTGAACTGGACTACATCACATGTCCTAACCACCCCAGCATCCCCGTTTCTCTCCAAGAGCTGGTCCCAGAGCTTTTCATGACTGATTTTCCTGCCAGGTAATGTCATGTGATAGCCTTCGGTTAAGTTTCAGTGTACCTATGTAGTTTGGTTGGATTTTTTTTTGCTAGAGGAACATACAGACTGCAGGAAGCAAAGTCACCCACTCCCAATCCCTGCTCTGGCAATTCATCCTAAACTGTGTTCCTGGTTTCAGCACACTTGCTTAGACGATCGCTGAGTGCTGACCCAAGTCATCGCTTCAGGAGGTCCTTTGAGATCACTGTGGTGTAGCACGAAAGTCCCCTTTTAAAGCCACAGCTGTCCTGCATGGCCCAGTACTCTGGCCAGAGCTTTCTATAGTTGGAATCTTTTTGGGATCCCGGAAAGGAGACTTCAATATGACAAACCCAAAAGGAGGTGCTACTCCGTCCCAAATTGGCACTGAAATGGCCTTTAGTTTTGAGGAGCCTGTAGGTGGGTGAATTTTACCACCAGACAATTCACATTGCGTCGAGGCTCCTGCTTGGCCGAGGGCCGTTGGGTGTGTAGCAGCAGTGTGGCAGTCCTCAGCAGCTGAAACAGCTCTTCCCTACCCATAGCAGCACTGCCAAACCTTTAAGCTGCTTAACTGCATTCCCAGATGGGTTCAGTCTTATACCCCTTATTACTTAGAGCAAGAGACCTCCCGAAGAGCAAGAGACCTCCTGACAGCGAGCAAGACAGGAGAGCAACACAACATCTCTTTCGGTTCACACTCTCTCAGACCTTTGTGCCCCATGCAGAGCCACGAGACCTCTGCACCAAACTGTGTCCTCTTCGCTGCCATCAGAGCTTTCTGTGCACCCGCTGGCCCCCGTTCCTTTCTTGGGGTCATTTTACTCAGCAGACACCCCGTCAGCTCGTCACGACAGCCCTCCTCGCAGTGCTATCTCCTGGAGATTTATTTGACGGGTGCAAGGCGAGTGGAGATGTTTGGAGTGTGAACAGCTGTAAAAGTAGTCTCTGGGAGAGCGGGGAAATGATGAATTGCCGCCTGGGAACCGTAAGCTGATTTGAATAATCAGGTTTCAGAGCGTGGGGCTGTTCGTACGCATCCTGTCCTGCCTCAGCGGGGAAAAGAGGAACAGGAGGTAAATGAAGCAAAAAAATAGTTAATACAGATAAATGACACAAATAACTGTACCTGTGCCATCCGCTTGGAAAAAAGAGCTTATGTGCTTTCCAGATCTCTCTGATTCTTGTAGGATAAGTTAGTAATGAGCCTTTTTTGCTTATTTGCCCAAGTTACTTTTTTCTGCGAGAAATGTTGTACAACGTGAGCCAGCACAGAGTACATAGAGATGACCAAGGTTGTTTAGGTGATCCAGTCCTCTCAGGAGATAAGACAAAAACCTATTAGGGATTTGTGGAAATGGAAATCACATTAGAAACATGAATTTACAACGTCTTTGAAACTTTTAATTAAAAAGCCTCAATCTCTTTTTGGCAGACTGTTCCTGGAAAATAGCAAACTGGAATGCAGTGAAAATGAAAACAACGTTCTTGGCCAGGGTGGAAGTGGGACCGTTATATATCGGGCACGATACCAAGGAAAACCAGTTGCTGTGAAGAGATTTCAGATTAAAAAATGCAAGGGTTCTCCCACTTCAGCTGCAGGTACAGTACATGCAATCAGTGTCGGGAATCGGCTCTTGCAGTCTGCGATTCCAAACTTAGACCAAAGAGCCTTCGCTCTCCAAAGTGCTGGCAGCAGCTGTTGAAGTACAGGACAAATAACCTCTGGAAAGACCAGAGCAGCCTGTGGTGTCCCACGGCAGAAGGCCGGTTACTGTGAAGGGTCCCTCTTCTGGCAGGGCAGCTGGGAAAGTGTAGAGAAGACCCCTTCCACCAAAGGATCTGCAACGTGACGTCTACACCCAGAGAGTCCCTGCTCTAAAAAGCACAGCATGAGTTTTCCAAAACCCTCCAGGTGACACATGAGAACAGCGAATGCAGACACGGTCGAGGTTGCTGTTAAAGGGCCAAGGGAGCACTTGCTTCCCGAGGCAGCCGTGTTTATCGTGCTTATAGCCCACGTCTGTTCGTGGCTCTAGCGCCAATGGGAGGATGCAGCTCAAAGCCTTGTTGGCGTAACCCTATGAGCTGCCTTCCTCCTGCAGCGTTTGCTCGGTGATTAACACCTTTCAAAGAGTTTCTGGCCTGGTTTCTCAGCTGGGGAGTGAGAAGAGCTTTTGCGTGTCTTGCCAGATACCATGCTGAAACACCTGAGGGCCATGGACGCCATGAAGAACTTCTCCGAGTTCCGCCAGGAGGCCAGCATGCTCCACTCGCTGCAGCACCCCTGCATCGTCTCCCTCATCGGCATCAGCATCCATCCTCTCTGCTTCGCCCTAGAGCTGGCCCCGCTGGGCAGCCTCACCACTGTGTTGTCTGAAAACTCCAAAGGTAAGAACAGGGTCTCCCTCCTGGGAGAGCTCGTCCTCTGAGTCATGGTAGTGACAAATGGTCAACAACATTTAAATTACTGCTTGGTTTAGCGGAGGAGGGGTTTTTTTCAGACTAAGGGAAGTGGGAGGGATGGAATTGCTCTTAAACTGTGCCTTTGGGAACCTAGTAAAAATCGGTGCTCAGGATTTTTGAAAGTTGAAGACCTGGATTTTCAATTTCTCTGCAAATTAATAAGAAGTGCTTCTCACTTCAGTGCTGCAAGGGTAATGCTGTGCTCATTCCCCTGCAGATGGGTGTCTGGCACTCTAAATTATCTCATAATTATCTGTATTCCTGTCGCTGTCAAATGAACGACACTAGTTCCGAGAGAGGTTGAGGCCATCTGACCCTCTTGGCACCTTGGCTTTGTGTCAGCTTTCAGTCAAACACTAATTTTCACCAGAAGATTTAGGGATCTAGAAGTGAAAGGGTTTAAAAAAAGAATCTAATCAAACTGTCAGACGTGTACAGTAACACCAACAGTGTCATTTCAAATCGTGGCATTGAGTGATATTTTAAAAGCATGTTAGTTATTGCTCTGGAGTTTAAAAAAGAAAGAGAAAAGGGGTTTAAAAACAAGAATAAAAAGCAGTTACTGCAAGTACAAAGACTGGAGACAGGCTGTCCCTTTGTGCCAGGCTCTTCCTTCGTGCCGCTGGGACACATGCTGACACACAAAATAGCGTATCAGATCGTAACTGGCCTTGCCTACCTGCATAAGAAGAACATCATCTTCTGCGACCTGAAATCGGACAACATTCTGGTGTGGTCCCTGGACGTCAAAGAGCACGTCAACATCAAACTCTCCGACTACGGAATCTCCCGGCAGTCATTCCACGAGGGCGCGCTTGGCGTGGAAGGCACGCCGGGCTACCAAGCTCCTGAGATCCGGCCTCGCATAGTCTATGATGAGAAGGTAACTGGAGTGGTGTGTGGCACCAGCCTTTCCGCCAGGGCCTTCCGTGCTCTCCTCTCCACCCACCAAGGCAGGTTTGCCCTATTGGGGTTTTTTCCCCCCTCTCGGTTTCTTGCTCTAGGTCGACATGTTCTCCTATGGGATGGTCCTGTACGAGCTGCTGTCTGGGCAGCGGCCTGTGCTGGGGCAGCACCAGCTCCAGATCGCCAAGAAGCTGTCTAAAGGGATCCGTCCTGTTCTGGGGCAGCCAGAAGAGGTGCAGCTCTATAGGATGCAGGCGCTCATGATGGAGTGTTGGGACACTAAGCCAGAAAAGGTACGAAACAACCCTCGTGACCGGTATTTTCTGATCGTGTAGCTCCAGGGATCCGGCAGCCCTTGTCATACCGGAGAGCAAGGCTCGCTCTTGGTACAACGGAGTGCCTTTGTTGCCCGTTTATCCCTCCTGCTGATATGGCCCAGAACTTGTATTGACTTAAATGAGAGTTTTATGAATTAAATTATGGCAGATTGGTGGCCTTAGACATCTGTGGTGACATAAAGGCCCCTTGACGTCAATAGCAGTTAAGCTATTGATTTCACCAGGGCAAGGCGTTAACCGTAATTTCTAGAAATGGCTACAGTGTCATGCTGTGAGTGTAACTACAAAGACTTTAAACCCCTCCAAGATTATGAAAGACAGTATGAGGAAGAAAAAGGTTCAAAGTACAAGAAAAGGATTATGCTGCATTACATTTTTCATTAATTGCATGTCACCGTTTCAGAGCTGCCGTCCTTCAGACAAAGGTCAGTTTGGCTCACAAACAGCTAGACACTGTCATGATAGTGGGTCAACTTTAAAAATTCATAAACTTGAAGAAATTAATCTATAAAATGCATAAGAGAAACACAGACCAAACCACAGAAGTACAGAAGAGATTTGGCTTCAGTATCTGGGGTATGGGAGAACGGTAAGAACCAGTCAGGTGGGATTTATAAGATAATTCTGTTGGGATTTGAGAAAGTAGCAGAAGTGTTTATTGAAGAAGTCCTACTTCTTGGCTCTCTAGCTTTGATAAATAACGATTATTGTGATTCTCGCATTTCATCTGGACGTCCAGCTGTGTCGTGTGACATAGGTCTTTCTCTTTTCCTTTCCCCGCAGCGTCCACTGGCCATTTCTGTGGTAGGACAGATGAAAGATCCTACCTTTGCAACGTTTATGTACCTGCTACCCTGCAGGAAGCAGTCTTCCTTTTTCTCCTCCCAAGGGCAGGAGTACACTGTGGTGTTCTGGGATGGGAAGGAAGACACCAGGTGAGACAGCTCATATTAGTGATTTCTTTCTTTTTTTCTTTTTTTCTTTTTACGTGAAAATCTTTCAGCGTCTTCATTTATGCCTCTGGGAGGGAGGTAAAGAAGGTGAAAGTGAGTTTGGGTGAATGCCAGGGATACAGTGAACACTGCTTTCCCAAACTCTTTTAATTGGGAACAGTGGTTGCTTTATAAAGGATATTTAATGAGCTTAACTCTGCTTCAGTTAATATGAGGAGAAGATTAGGGCAGTGTAATGATTCACGCACACAGGATGAAGCATTTGCACATGAGAACAGACATATTCTGCCTTTCCTAATGAGGCCATTTAACACTAAACCTTTCCTAATTGAGACTGCGGTTCCATCTCTGTTCTACAAAGCAATTAAGCACATGCTTAAATCTTGCCGAAATCGTCAGGAGTTCACCACATGCCTGAAGCTGTGGGTGCATCCAAGTGTACACTGCTGGTAAAGTGTGTGCTATACTGAAGAGGCATGTGCTTTAAATGTTATTAAATTGTGACTGAGATGATGGTATTTTGCTCAGCCACATGTGACCCGGGGCTAGTTAGGTTTATTTTTATGGACGTTGCTGATTTTTATAGCCCCCAGTCTTATTTGAAAACATTTGCAAACCAGTCTGAATTTTATATTAATGTGTTCTTTATCTGTAACCATTAACCTAATGGGGAAGGTGCGTGATTTGTTCCTGAGCGATTTGCTTTGCTATTTGTGGTGCCTGGTCAGTCGTTCAGTGGAGATAGTACAACTGTTCCTGCTAAAACTCATGAAACACATGGGACTCACAGATGTATTTTGAATACATGGATGTTGTCCAAATATTCACAGCAATATATCTCAGTGAATCCCCTTCCTGACTGGACAATCCACTTGCTGGAGACTGCTGAATAACAAATCACTTATATGTGACAGATTTCAGGATGTGTAATTGCTTGTGCCACAGTTGGTAAAACATCTGGGGCTCGCAGATGTGGTTGTGAATATCCAGTTATAGTTCAAACACTCAGACCCAAGAAATTTCCCCAAACAAACAAAATCTTTTTAGTTACTAAAAATGTTAATTAGTCATATTTATGAATATCATGTTACAGATATTTCCTCTTATTTGGAAGAATCATGCTCTTCTGTTTATGTACTAGAATAAGTAACAAAGCTAGCTAATACTGAGCGGCAATAAACTTGGGGAACAAGCACATATTCTCTTGAGAACCCAATGGACAAGATGGACTTAAGACCTCCCAGCTATTAATTACTGCTCTTCAGCTGGAGTTGTTTGTCTTGCAGCTGAATTATAGTGACAGACCACATAAGTTCTCCAAAGCCATTTCTGTGCAAAGTCAGATAGCTGGGGTTAAATCTTCGCAAAGGCAATTGCATATCTGCCCCCTGAGAAAGAGCCGTGGCCCATCTGTATTTCTCTTCCTTTCCAAAGACCATTTGGAAGGGTGGAGAGTCCTGCAGCATCGTCCACATCTGGACAGTCATGTGACTGAACACTGGCTGTAGCAAGTTGTTATTTGCTCCTTTCAGAAACTACACGGTGGTGAATCCAGAGAAAGGAGTCATAGAAGTGGAGAGGATGAGCTGCCCGGGAATGAAGCTGTGCTGCCAGCTAAAATTTCAGAATGCCCTCTGGGCCGCCACGGAGGTGAGCGTTGCCTGCGCTCGAGTGCCCCGCTCAGGAGGGGCTCGTCAGAAAAAAACCTATTAAATTAATAAAGCCAAGAGTGCTTGAGACAATGGGCGTCTCGGGTGAGCAGCGTGACTTTGCATCTGCTCTCTCCGGGTGTATTGTTTCTACCTGTCACGTGGCCATTCCCTAGATCAAAATCATCCCTTCTGGTGCTCAAAGCGATCGTGGGAACCTCGGCTTGCGGAGGCAAGACTCTCTGGGTTGTAGCATATCTGTACCCAAGGTTTCATCTGGGAAATGTCCTTATCTGTAAGCGATAAAGGGAAGCAAGTGAAAGAAACCATGCGTTTGAGGGTGGGGTTTGGAAAGAGGCCCGAGGGATTTGCAAGTCGGTGGGAAATGGGTACCCAGGTTTTGTGTTCACCGTGGAAAATGGCAGCTGGAGTGATAAGAGAGCAGGACTGATTCATCCCCGAGCCCCTGCCCGCCCATCAAAAAGGGCTGTGTTAAGCGTCAGCCAGTTCTGACACAAAACACGCAAAAAACAGCTGAAATTAATTGAAATGTTCCCGAAGTTCACCGTTTTAGAAAGGGGAAAGAAGGCCACACTTGCTGAATAAATAACTTGTGTTGGTTCATTCAGCCTGCCCTAGTATGGGTGCTGGAACTGAGGGAGAGTGTTGATAGGAAAATAAGATATTTTGCCTTTTTCTGTTCCCAAATAAATTTCAAGTGTTCCTATTTTCTTCGTAACAAGTATAGAAAAACTAAAATTAAAAAAAATCTTAAAGCATGGTATTTCCATCTTCTTGATCAGAATGAAACGTGTTGCTGTTCCCCAGACTGAGTGCTCTGCCTTAGCTTAGTAGATTTATGAGGCGTAGAGCAGGTGTAATGCCACGTACAATGCAGTAGTAGCTTTCCTCAAATTGACAGATTAATGCAAAGTAACGTACAAAGTGTTTCAGCTTCATGGCACGTTTGGGATTTTTGCGCAGTCGAGGTTGTCAGATGCTACTTCTAGATGTGGAGATAAAACACCTGTAGTGGTGATTTTGGTGACTTTTGAATAGTGCATGTGTTGCCCCCAGCTCGTTTTGGGGAAGGCAGTACTCGTTTTCTGCCCATGGACAGGGCAAATGCTCTCCAGGGAAAAAAAGCAATCCAGGCTTTGGATATGGAAAAATGCAAGTAAAAACTGGGTTTGGAACCCATTTGGTCTTGTTCCGCCATCAAAATGTGAAAAGCGTGGGCGGTGCTTGAAATCTGTAGAATTTTATGTGCTCTTTCGCAGGACCAGAAGATTTCTGTGTATGGATTGCAGGGCATGTGTCCTCTGAAGACTCCACAGAAGAGTTTAGACACTCCTGCCACTGTGAGCTGCTTTCTAGTAATGCCCGTTGTCAAAAAGGTAAGGAGGAACCAAAAGGAAAAGGGGCATTTGCGAGACTAAATCGTCTGCCGCCAGGCCGACCTGCCAGATTTTGCACGGCTTGTCCCTAGCTAGTGTGGAAGAAGGACTTTGCGATGCCCAGGAACATTTTGGCAGCGCGAGGAGAAGTTTTCCAGGTCTTTGTGCCTCTGCCAGAAGACAGAGAGGTGTGGGCAAGAACCTGAGTCAGAGGACCAAAGCTGGCACTTCCGAGCCTGCTGGGAAAATAGTCAAAATAGATCAAATTCCTCTGCAAGGACGTTTTCCAGCTGTGTTTCCACATCGCTGGAAGACAGAGTTTAGGCTGACCAGGCAAAGCAGAGGGGACATGAAACAATAATTAGAATAAGGATTTGTTAACTGCTAATGCAGGACTTGGCTGTATCCTAGCTCTTGTATCCACTCTTTTAGCGGTGTGTGTGCACGCTGTCATTTGCGGGCTGCATCACTGAGTGTTATCTAGGTTCAGACACATTTCTCTTTTTGGTTTTGAATGAGAACACGTCGGTAACACAGCTCTTATGGGTAATACTCTTCTGGGTAACATGGATAACTATTCTTATGGGTACTAACAGAAGTCACATACTATCTAGTTCTGGAATTGCCAACATGCAGTTACTGGTAAAAGAAATCTGACATGACTGCCTGTTGCAGACAAGTCATGGGAGATGTATAAAAACTGTTTTCGGGCTAAATTACATCCGTTTTGCTTACAGCCACCTCAAGTGAAAACATATAATTAAGTTCCAGCGTTACTGGTAGCTGTGCATTTTGCAAATGCCAGACTGGTGTGTGTCTAAAAGCTCGATATGGAGCAGCTCTCGGAGCGGTTTTATCCCGCGTGCCCATTCTGCGTTACCGTCCATTTCTGGCTCGGCTGCTCCGACTGCCGCATCGCCGCAAACCGGATCCGAGGCAGATGGTTAGTGTAAGGTGCACCGCTTCGCTTCCAAACATGGTGTCAGCAGGACTGAAGTAGGGCACAGATCTCAGGCTGGCACAGTAATGAATTTCACCCGCCAGGAGGCTGCATCTGTCGGCTTTCTTTGGCTCCCAGACCTGCAGCGTTTCTCCGCCATGGAGTTTCATTCCTGATGCGTAGGGAGAATTTCTTTTTCGTGCTGCCTGAGGTTTTGTCCAGGACAGTCAAACGAGTCTTTAACTTTCAGCTTTTCCACTGTCATACAGCTTGCAAAGCCATTCCTCAGGGCTTACGAGTGGCTTTATGTCTCCTGGTTTCTATTTCCAGTTTGTGGCTTGCCTAGAAAATGTCATAAATAATGCCAGGCCCTACAATAGCAATATTGAGTCTAGACACCTCCCTTCCTCCCCCGACCCTACCCAACCTTCCAGAAATCCACATCCCTTCGGTGCACTCCTTCCTAGTTTATTGGACTTATTTTTTTTCTTTCCCTCTCTCCTTTCTATGAATGAGTTTGGCAGTGAAATAGCCAGAGCGGCAGCTTTAGGGATGTGCAGACCAGGTTGGCAAGAAGCTAAACCGTTTTTTTTTCAAAACAGCCAGTTCTTCCAACAAAGCTAAGTGGAAAGCTTACGCTTGTCCAACTCCCTGCGCGGCGCAGCGAGCTGTATCAGAGTTATCACACAGTCGTATTGTTGTCCAGCAGAGAAGAGAATTGCTCGCGTTTCCCTGGGAAGAGAGCCCTTAGCTGATGAGATGTGAGGTAACTTGCAGTCAGAGAATCGCCCGGGGATGTTGCTGGGAAGGGGAATTCTTTACGAGTGCCTTGGGAAGACTGGTCCAAAAGAAATAGTTTCCAAAACTTGATTTCTCGTCCAAAGGAAGCATCATGGAAATTTAAAAGCAGCAAAGAGGGGCCCAGAATCCAAAATTTGCCCGCCGAGGAGAAGTCTTGTACAATTTAAGCTTTTTGTTGCGTGCTTTCTGTCACCAGAATTATTGGTTTTGGCAAACAATAAATTTTTCAGTAAATTTCCTTTCAGAAGAAAAACAAGTAGGTGAAGGAACAGGTTAAAAAGAGTGAAACAAGATGCTTTTCTGAGCTGGTTTGCAGCATTCTTACAAAGAAATGTTGAGGGAGAGAGAAACCCAAATGGGTGCAAGCCTGCAGCCTCTTGCAAAAACCTGGAACACACAAAAACAAAAGCTGCATTTAAAGGCTGCAGCCTGCTGCGGCATTCGCTGCCAGCGGTGCCAGACCGTGTGGGGAAGAGAGGAGGAGGTGACCATAGTGTCTGGGGTTCTATTTTATTTTTATTTTTTTTCCTAACCTGCCATCCCAACGGCTACGAGCCTCGAGCTGTCCTCAGCTGCAAGGACAGGACGTCTGGAGCCAGCTCATCTCCTGCACATGGCGAACCGTCACGGCCCCGCTCGGAGGCCTTCCTCCCTGGCACGGCGGGACTTCTGGCAGGACGGAGACTTCAAATGCAGTTTTGTTGCTGCGTGTTTTTGTTGGCTCTTCGTGGAGCCCAAATGTTGAAAAAATGAATTCTGAGAAAGTTACTTAAGGTTTCTGGAGGCTGCTGCCCGCCCTGCCTGCCTTTGGTCACTGTTGTAATGCCCTGATTTGGAGAGTTCTGCCTCCCTGCCCCACTGCATCAGCACCTCATAAAGTCTGGGGAGTCCGTGGCAGCCGGGGGTGGGTGGCTTTTGCCAGATTTTTCGGTGAAGTGGGTCTCAGTCGGGTGAGGGGATGGCAGGTTCAGGGCATTTCTCAGCGTTTGAGTTCCTACTCCTCATTTCTTAAACGGAGTAGCCGGGTAGATAGAAACAGGTCCCGATAGCCAAGGCGGTGAGTAATAAGTGCCCCAAAGCATAAAATATCTTCCAGATTTGCTTCCACCATTGTGCTGTTCCAGACAGGCTAGAATTTGGCAGTCAGTGTTACCGGTAAAGCTGGGTGGGGATCGCTGACGCAGCTCCAACGGGTTATGGTGCTCATTGCTTGGGGCTGGGGAGATTTGGCCTGTGGAACCCAAAAGGGAATCTGGATTCTGTTCTGCAGTAGCTGACACTAATCAAAGAAATCAAAATATTTTTTATGAAGACTATGCTTGGATAGTTCAGGGGTTTCGAAGCAAATGAGACAAAAGTATGAAGATCTCTGAAGACTTCAGTAGTGTCCTGCGTCATGCCAGGAGCAGTTCAGGTTGACATACCAACACTGCAGTTAATTTCAGTTTCGGTTTTCCATTTTGACTGAGAAACACCTATTCTGCAGGGTCCTTTACACTGAAAAAGCTGGACCCTTTTCACCAGAGAACTGCGGGCCGTTCTGCTTTGTTTTGTTCTGGTTTAAATAATTGAACTCCTTTCCAAAGAGAAAGTAACCCAAACCTCAGCTTGAGTAAGGCATCGTGCCTTGTTCCAACCTATTGATGCAACTCCCTGGCAAACCCGTATCCAGGAACCTTTGCACCAGTCCCACATGGCGGCGGGGACATGGCACCGACCGCTGCAGCCCGTTTGGGTTTCTTTTAAGTAGCGATTAGAGAATTGAGACTGAACTGAGTCGAAGTCCAAGTCCCGTTTCACAACTTTCCACTTGCTTCCCTAGTTTTTCCCATTACAGTAAAATTCTGCCATGATTTGGATTAGTCACAGGGGCTCAGCACGCTCATGGATTTACTCATGCTTTGTATGCAGATAGTAGCTTTTTGTCCAAGACTCTTAATGACCCTTGCAAACGGCACTATCGATTAAAGTAACGCTTACCCTGATGCTGTCTGACCCTCGATACCCGAGAGCTGCTCAAGATACTGATTCTGGCCTCGACAGACCTAAGCAGCCTGGGAGCTCTGTTCCAGGGCTGGCACAGCCAAGGTCCCTGGAAGGGCACCGGCTTTCCTTTAATTTCCGAGTAGCGAGGGGTGACGCTGGGTCCCTGTCCCGGCTGTGGAGGGGCGAGGGGTTACTCTGTCTGGTTCTGTTCATTTCCTTAGTCCAGCCAGATTGTAACAGCAGCAAAAAAGCCCTGGGCAAAGGGTGGTGGGGTTTTTTTATATAATTTATTGCTCCACAGGGAGGAAATAGAAAGGCCTTTGAGGTAGATATTGTTTTATCTGCTTCACAGATGGGAGAGTTGCTGGTACAGACCCAAGGTCATGGGGAGTTTTGTTCCCAAGAGATCCATTTCCCAGTCTGTTGAACAGTGTTTCGCAGCACTGTGATGATGAGCTGGAGGAGTCGGAGACCCGGCGAGCCGTGTCCTTCTCACCAGCTCCCGCCTGCGGGGCGTGACGGCATCCATCGCACCGGGCTCGACGCCAGCCGCGGCTCCCGCAGCCGACACATCCATACATTTAGGGGCAGGGTTTTTTAACTACCTGCAGAATTGTTTGCGGCGCTCAGCAGCTGCTTTGCGGAGCTGCAGCCACGTCGGTGCCCTTCGCTGGGATGTCTCTTGAGCTGTTGGGGATTCCTGACTCAGAGCGCGTTCCTGGGAGGAGCGGTGCTGTCAGAGCCACAGAGGTCGGATGCAGAGCGATCGTTGGTGCTCTTGTTTGTGAGAGGATTGCCTCTCTTTCTGGTTTTACTGCATTTCTTCCATTCCTTTTCTGCCTACCCTGATAGCAATAGCTTTACTCCTTTATGGAAATGAGCCGGCTTTCTACAGCTGGATTCCTAGGATCACGATGCCTGTCTCTGAACATACTCCAGCTTGAATTTGTTAACCTTCGGGGCAGACTGCCAGGTCCTGTCTGTCCTCCCTTGCCAGTAAGGAGAGGTAATACTGGGTGAGAGGAGTATGGCTCTGCAGCAACTTCTATGTAATGACTTCTTTTTATGCTGCTGTTATCACTGAGTGGTTTGGAGTAAGTTACTTATAGGATTGTGAGAGGCAGCCATAGCCTCCAGGGTTGAAAGCTCTTGTGTTGCAGAGAAGAATCTGGGTAGCGAATCCCCTGTCTTTCTTGCAGAACTCGTATGTGGTGCTGGCCGGCTTGTCGGATGGACTCGTAGCGGTGTTTTCAGTGTCCCAGGGCATCCCAGGGGACAACTGCTCCTACCTGTGCTCCCACACGGCAAACAGGTCCAAATTCAACATTTCCGACGATGACCCCCGGCAGAACCCGTACCCCGTGAAGGCCATGGAGATCACCAACAGCGGCACCGAGGTCTGGTACAGCAACGGCCCCGGCATCCTCATCATCGACTGCGTCGCCATGGAGATCAGCCGGAGGCTGGAGCCCTTCAGCGCGCCCTCGCTGATCACGTCCATCGCCTGCAACTCCGAGTGCCACGGGGAGGAGGTGGTGTGGTGCCTGGACGATAAAAGCAACTTCCTGGTGATGTATCACGTCGCCACCTACCAGCTGTGCGCTCGCTACTTCTGCGGAGACTGCAGCCCCCTCCGAGACATGTTTACAATCCAGCAGCCCTCGGCAGCCATCCCGGCGACGGCGCCGATCAAAAACCAAGCGGTGGAGAACAACCCGCTGGCGGACATGAGCATCATGTACAGCCCGGAGGTTGGCACCCAGATACTGAACCACCAGGACTCGCTCACAGATTATTGTTCTGTGTCTTCCTATTCCTCCTCGCCTCCTAACAGGATAACCCCGTGCCCCTCCAGCCTACCCAGCTCGCCCATGAGCTCTTCCAGTGCGCCGCTCTCCACAGATTTCGAAGAGTCGGACAGATTTCATGAGCTGAAGCCTTCCCCGGATGATGATGCTGTGCCTGTGGGTGACAACACAGAGCATCTCCAAGCTGTCAAGATTCTTCCAGTAAAAGACCTCATATGGATCCCCAGGTGGGTGGGCACTTACCAAATAAATCCCTCCTGGAATTAGCTCAGACTAATTCAGGAACTTTTGCATTCCCAGTATGATTCACTTGCCCAAAAAGTCAAGAAATTCTGTCCCCAGTGCAATGGTACATTTATTTTTCTACTTCTTTTTAAAGATAGCTGGTGATGGGTAGAATGGCCACTCTAAGCTCTTGCAGGATCAGTTTCAATAGAAATGTGAGTGGTGAGACTTGAAGCCCTGATTCCCCAGCTGCTGAGGAAGCAAAGGGCAGGAGGCAGCTTCCTTGCTTGGGCACAACCCCGATAAATCCTGTCGTCTCCTGTAGAGCTGAGGGAAACTGCTGGAAACTTGATGTTGAGTTCTCACTGTGGTGGGTTCCGGGTGCTCCCCAGTGTCACCGCAGTGCCCCCTTCCCTGCCAGAGGTCGTGTCACTGCAGGAAGGGTTGCTGCAGAGAGGACGGATATTGAGCACGGATCTTCCTTAGCTGTCAGCAGACCCGTTGCTGAGCATGTGACATCTCCTTCGTTTTTCTTCTAGGAGAGGAGGGGATATCATCGTTATCGGACTGGAGAAGGAATCTGGCACCCAGCGGGGCAGAGTGATCGCTGTGCTGAAGGCTGGGGAGCTGGCTCCCTTTGGGTGAGGCTGACTAGGCAGTGCCCATTGCACCAGTTTCCAGGGATGGGAGGGGACTGGGTGGTAGAGGGTGGCTCTGAGGGCTCTTGGAAGCTTCCAGCGGCATCTGAGAAGTTCCCAGCTGGAAGAGTTGTGGCTGCTGGTGGCACGTCAAAGCATGTAGCATGTCAGGTGGTGAGGGGGAGGCACCACGACCACGATCAGGCCTCCAAAAGCTGCAGAGACCGAGCACCTCCATAATGAGGCGGGCAGGACCATCTCGCACAACACCCTAAACATCGGTCTGATCCTGCCTGGTGCTGACCACCGGTGCTTGGGGGGCACCTGGCAGAAGATGCGTGGAGCTCGGCGGACTCGGGCCCCGCATTAGGAACAAGAGATGTATTTATGCAGAGCGCGGTGCTTGTCTGTGGCTGCATTCACGTGGATCAGGTTGACGTTCTGGCTCTAAATGAGCAGCTTTGTGCTGTCGGCAGTGACGGGCTCCTGGAGCACAGGGGAGAGCAGTTATATACATTAATTTAAAATGTTTCATACAGCGAAGGAGAGTCCAAGTAAATAAATAGCTGCTAGAGAGCAGGGGCTGTTCCTGCTACTTAAAGACCGGTCTGGGATTGTACTATTTATGTCCAAACAAATGCAGGTTAAGCAGCGCTAAGGATTATAAATGATCGTTTATTACCGCTGGGCAAACACAACAAGGGATCAAAGTGCTCCTGCCATTCCCTCTACTGGCAATATGAGTGTCTTTATCACTTGGGAGTGGAGTGGTCTCTCAGTTACTCACTTTCAGGCTGATTTTGCCTGGCCACCTCCCTCAGGGCTATCTGCAGGCCCAGCTTCAGCCATTGCTCAGGTAACGTGCTTTGAGCCCGCGCAGGGAAGCCCATGCCACACGATGCTGTCATGCAGGACACCTTCTGCGCGAACCTTGCAGGTCCCTGGGCTGTTGCTGTAGGTGTGCTGGCTGGGCTGGACTCAGGGCTCATACCCTGAGCTCCATCCCACTTCCACACCGTATTTCTGGCTGCCAAAGCTCTCGGCAGGCTGTTAGCTCTGGTGTGCTGAGCTGCTTTGAGAACGCCCAGCTGGCAGCAGGCAGCAGAGTCTGGATTTAGCAAATCAGGAGATTGACAGCTTCAAAATGTCATGGCAGGCTGAAGCACCTACCTGCACATTTGGGCACCTGGATCCCTTTCAGACTCTT